CACCTGAAATTGTCATGTTGCCCCAGCGCGAAGCGCGAGCCGAGCGGATCGTCCTCCGGCAGCGGTGGCCGGGTCGGACCTTCGGTTTCATAGCGAGTCCAAACCAGCCCGGGCTGCCTTTTGAGCTCCCCGCCGTCTTCCTCGTCTTCATCGGTGAGGCCCGGCTCCAGGTCCTGGTTTCAATCTCCCTCAAATTTTCAAGGGTCCCTTTTGGCCTTGGTCCAAAGCGGGGCCTCCGCAGCTGGATTGCCCGCTCCATCCTCTCCCTCCTCAGCCTGCGAACTGAAGTGAGGCACCCGGCTGCACCGTGACTGCGAGAGTCGTCGACGCAACCGCATTCTGTAACCATCGGATTCACTGTCTACTGCAGCTCAGGTCGCAACAGGCATCTGCTCTTGTTCGGAAGGTGCGTCTGGAAACAATTCCTGACGCTGCATCTGCAAGGAGCTGTCGGTAAAGCATTCGCTCGTGATCAAAGCCGTCGAGGCTCTGAAGGGCTATTATGTTTGCCATCCTGTCTCACATAGCATGCAGCAGCGTCGGTCGCAGACAGCAACTCCGGGTCCTCTGCTATGTCTGCAGCATCCTACAGCAGAGTAAAGCTGCAATGAGGGAATGCTTGTCACAAGAACTGACGGTGTCTCTTCCGAATGAACTAACTCAAGTCGGCCAGTTGTGTCAGTTTTTCGACACCAGTGAAGAAGCTGAAGCAACGTGTTTCTCAGTGTCCGGATCCTTGGAGGCGGATTGAGATCCAGGTTTCTCCTTCCGACAGCTCGATATGCCCATGCGGCTAGCTCATGGTGTAGATGGCTCGAAGCAGACACTTGATTCTGGAGGCGAATGACAATGCATCACAAACTGACGACACCCGCTTCTTACACAGCCCAATGATGTGGGAAGGCATCATGTGTCTGCATGCCGCAAGTTCCGCCAGCTGCAGATTCAACAGTCTACATCTTGACCAGCCTTTGATTTGCTGGAGGCCCTGGAGGGAGTCGTCGGCTTTCCCTGCACAGTGCTGCAAGTTTTGAACAGCAACTTGACTTTATTTCGCTCCTGCCAGCTTCTCGTGGTCTGCTCCTTCCTGCAATGTGTTGTGTCTTCATTTACAACTCTGTGCTCCAACGGTTTCAGGTTGTAATGCTAGAGCTGTGCGCTCCTAGCTGACCCGTTGGGCTCCACTGGGTGTCGGGGTGCTCAAGTTTCCAATCGAATCGAACAGGGCAGCACAAGACACAACCTGCTTACTCCCACCCTCCTCCTGCTCTCCTGCCGGCTCTGCTTTTGCTAGCTTGCAGTGGAATATACGGGCTGAGAGGGCCTACCCCAACTCGGCTCGGAATTGTACCATGCTTTCCTCTTGCTGGTGTAGTGCGCTAGTGTAGTGTAGTCAGCTTACACTACACTGGTGCTTTTGCCTTGGTCCTCTTTGCCTCCGCCCTCCCTCCACATGCCAGCACGGAACGTGGTCGAAACAGAGCTGCGACCGGCCTCAAGGTTTTGAGACGAAGCAGCAGACAGGCGCTTGCCCTGCGAGAAGCGACGAGATCCCCCTTCCCCAAGCAAAGGCTGCCAGGGCCTGGGAGGTCAAAGAGCCGCGCTTGCCCTGAGCCGGGCACGGAAACACGTACAGAAACAGCACGGACCTCAATGGCAATGGCCCCTGCATAGAATCACTGAAAACATCCGCGGCCTGAGAAGATGTGACAGATCCTCTCTTGCCCTCGCAAGGCATGACGGTCGCACGGTCATCATAGTCTACGGTCTAGCATCAAACTGGCAGCACAGCGAAAGGCGACAGAGCCCAAAACCTCCATCCAGTCTGGCCCCGCCTGTGACGAGGCGATGGACCCTCGCTTGGCCTGGGACACGAGCTTGCAAGAGCCAGAAGGACTTGCTTTACCTGCTTTGACATGCTCTTCCGCCGCGTTCTCTTTCACGTCCAACTCGAGAAGTACCAGATGCCTGTCCCGGCGGAGTGGAACCCCGGGAACTGGGCGAGGTCGGCTTCTCCTGCCCAAGGCTTGACGAGACGACGAGACTTCTTGTTATGTAAGCGTTTCAAAGGTTGTTGCACCTTCGAACCAGGGCGCTGCAGCTGCTTCTTGTCCTGGTCAATGCCCCACGGTCTTTTCATACTGTTTCCCAAAGAATCTATGCGTTGCTCTCGCTTCAGTCACGCACCGCGAAAGGGCCGCACAATTCAACATGGGCTGTTCCTGAACTTACTACGCCCACGGATCACAGGTCCTTGGCGCCCTTCTTTGGCTGCCTCATGTCCAATCTAATCATGCTCGATCTTGTTTCGGCCCAGCCATGTCTACTTCGGCAGTCACCCGAGAAACAAGAACAACATTTCTTTCTGCTTACCCCAGGGCTGCAAGATGATGATCGCTCCGGTCGTAAGAAGAACTCATGTGCTCGGCGTCTCTGCACCAAAGCTCCAAGAAGCAGCGACATGCAAATCGGCGCCCGGCTTGGAGGGCTTGCGCTTCGCCTTGAAGGCAACAGGGCGGTCTCTGAGGACTGGTTGGGAGAATCGAGTGATCTCAGGGTCTTTGGCAGACTACGAGCAGCACGAGTTCCAAAATCAGGGCTTGGCCTGGGTCTGCACAGGCTCCAGGTTGTCCTGACCGATGTCTCGCAAATTTCTTCACAGGTGAGAGGTACCACTGTGTGAAGATCGCCATCGCTCTGGCACCATCGTCGTCAACACCATCATCTCCACCATCTCCACCTTCACCGCAAAAGAATCAACAGCATAGTCTGGTTACAGGACACGTGAAGGATCTGCTGACAGCCCACTTTTCAGGGACGGTCCTTTGACCCTGAGATTACCCAAGAACTGGACGCATGGAATAAGCAAATCAAACGTGGCATCCCTCATGTGAAAATCCGGCTAAAGCAGAAGAAGGACGGAACAGTCATCAGGCTGTCGGAGCCGCAGCAGTGGCAACAGACAAGCTGCATGGCAAGACGCAAACTCAACATACCCAACAGACTGGAATCTTTAACATGTAAGGCAACTCCACTTCGTGCCACGGCCTGCGGCGCTTCCACCCGGAGCTCAAGCCTGAGGCGGAGCATAGAGAGCCTACACACTTACCGTCTAGAGTCTAGACAGCCATATGTACTCACTAGCTGCAAGAAACGGCTTCCAAGTAGGCTTCCTGCGGCGGAATATAGTGGAGTGCCTGAAGCACTTTTGGGCACAGAGTTGGGAAGCGTCTTCAGATGTTGAAGAACCAGCACGCCGTTGTTTGTCGCCTCTGCTGCACGTGCTATCGCAAGAAATAAGAAATTTGTTCTATCGTCTTGTCTACTGCCGACAATGGCAGCAGCCCAGCAGTGCTCAAGTGCATCAACCAACCGTCATGGAATCAAAAGCCGCCACACAGGGCATTGTAAAGCAGCGTGTTGTTGAAACTTACTGTTGCACCACCGGAAAGAGCCGCTTCTAACCAAGCAACATCGCAGCCGATGTAGTGTACCATTCTAGCGCACTGCCTGCACCTCCTCCATTTTCCGGCCGTCTGCAAAAGCTCCACTAGAATCTCAAACGAGTTGTGAGCTTTCAACGACCTGTAACCTGAAAACGGAGGGGGCTCGCGAAGCCAAGCGAAGAAAAGATTCGCCCGAGGCTGCCCAAAAATGCTCGCATGAACCCTCCAACACCTGCCGCTTTCAGGGAGTATGTCATGTCTACATGGAATGTTCCGGGAAAACTACTCACCCGCAAAAACCTCGTGTCCAGAGTGAGCTGTTTCATGGCACGCATTGCCGCCAAATTCCGCCGCACTAGCAATACTGGCACTGTCCAAGTTGCGAGCTTCACCCTTTTGTGCTACCAGCATCGTGATCTAGGGTCTGTCCTATCCTACGTTCAGCGTACTGCCTGCGCGATGGGATATGGACGGGCTCATTTTGGGCGGTCTTGTGAGATGCTAATACGAGATCCTACTCTGTTGAAGGCTCGAGTTCAAAGAGTTGCCAGGACGGTTGTTTACGCTCAGACTCCGTTCGAAGTGAGAGAATCAACAATCCTATTGAAGGTGCACATGCGGCATCCAAACTCTGACATGGGCCACGGCATAATCAGACTTTCAGGCAGCCTCAGGCGTAGCTGCAGCAATCATGCAGCACAAGCCTCACCCACCTGAATTTACCAAGTCCTTGACTCAGCTGCGGCTAACCTTACCCTGCGCACATACAAGTACTCGGTACACTTGTCCTCAAGACCTCCCACAGCCCCCGACTCAGGCCCTGTGGGACCGCAGCCGAGGCAAGACCCCAAGCAAAAGACGAGGGCGAAACTGGCGTAACCCCTGGAGCCCAGGTGCTTCGATGTGCTTCGTCTGCTGTTGAAAGCTTTGAACTTTCCGCTGTCGCGAGCCGCAGGGTTAAAGGTGAAACGTGTCACGGCTGGCAAGAGGGCGCTTTCCTTCACCCTTTGCTCTCTGATCTCTGTCCTGTTCCGACAAGTTTTTCGGCATGGCAGGTCGCCGAGCAAGGCCCAACCAACTGACAGTTAAGTCTGTGGTGGTGCAGATATCTGAAGCAAACTCCGACTGCCAGGATCCCCAGCCACCACCAAGCCAAAGGCTCTCTCCTGTAGCTTCGGCTGCAAGCATGGCTCGTGCCAAACTTGGATCATGCCTCGAAAAAGACTGCTCCTGTGCTTTGCGGAGCTTGCGCCACACGGTGCAGTGTCGTGGTCACATGGGTCGCTTGCTTTGTTTTCGGCTGCACGGCAACGGCGCAGGCTCAGGTGTGGAGGCTCCCTAGGGGAAATCTGTGCGAGGCTCGTGATCTAACGGTGCCGCCACACACATGTCCCCGGTCACCCCAAATGCCAAACGAATTCTTCAAAGCCTCACCTCTCCTTTCATGGCAGCTGCACAGCTGCACTTGAGCTTGCCCAGCCTGCCATTGATGCACGCATTCCACTGAGCCACAACCAGCGCTCTTGTGTGCTTTCTGCCGGCCTCTGCTGCCCGTTAGGCATCACGCAATGAGCTCATACCTCCGGCTCACATGGCCACAAGTCGAGCATCAAAACTCTGAGGTCTTGGAACAGCACATCGGACCATGATACTGGTACCATGGGATGTCTGCATCTTCTCACACCCCTGGTGATGGAAAACTCGGGACTTGCATGTTTCACGCCTTGCCTTTCAATGCATCTTTCAAGGCGCTCCTGCTTGGGCAAGATGTTCGGATCCCCTCTGCCCCCTCTGCAGGTGCAGACTGTCCACCGTCCTTCCCCAACATTTGTTGAAGTCGCCACCGGAGTCACCGAGCCTGAACACGAAAACAGAAGTCCAGCGCCAGCTGTGGTGGCACATCTGTTCAACAGAGCAGCAGAGAGCGGCAGAGTGTTTGCCCTGTAGCCTTCTCAACTGCACTTCGACTTTCTGTTCTCTACACATGAAGGTGTCCGTGAAGCTTCAGCAGAGAAGACCTGCGAAACAGCACGCCCTTCCGCTGCAACGTCGCGAGGCCTTTCCGGGCTGTCATCGCCGCCAGGAGAGACTGGCGAGACTTGGCACAGCACTTGCTGGTAGCTCAAAATACCTTCATTGATTCATACTTAGAGGACCAGTGCTCCCGGCAAGAGCATATCACGCAGAGTCAAGCGGTGGCTACATCTACTGTGTCCATAAGCACTTAAGTCTGCTTCGTGGCTGCATTTGGCCCGGAAGCTGGGGCTGCCACAGTCACCACACGCCGGCTGCGACGATGGGACCTTCCAATGAGGAATGCTCATGATTGATGACGCCTTCAGAAATTAAGGCTCGGGTGCCCAGCCGCCCAATGGAAGCTCAGTTCGGCTTTGCTTGAATCAATTGTGGTTTCGATGACTGATGACAGGTAACCACGTCGTCACTGTGGTGCATACCGTCCCTGTCCATGGGGCCGCATTTTTGATGGCGATGGAGCAAAACTGCATAGCCCCTGCATCATGAAACCCCACATCCATCATAGACCCCACATCTCTGGCGGTCAAACGTGTCGGTGAACCTGCAAATAGACTTACCTGGGTGCTACTGTGTTGCAGCGGGGTCCACTTCCGGAATAAACTATACTTTGGTTTGCGAGGCTTCGTGCTCTTTGGGCCATCTGAGCTGACTTTCCGAAAGCCTTAGGCTCAGGTTGATCGGTTAAGCTGGAGCTGCATGAAAGAGGCCTCTGCGATTGCGCGTGGCGTTACGGGCTGTAGCTCCGGCCTCCAGGCAAGCTGGCAATGAAGTTTCGGGAGGTGCTGGCATGAGCGGGAAGCGCTTTGCAACAACGAGGACCGGACATGCCAGGATCTGTCTCGCAGTCGGAGTCCTGGCCGAGGCTGATCCCTGGAGCTCTGTGGCTGTTCTCAGCCTGTCGCTTTACTCAGCACGACCTATAACAGCAAACCTTCAGCTCTCTGTGTCAACGCGACAGTCCCTTCAAGATGCTTCGCCTCCTCCTCCTGTCTTCGAGCTTCGAGCGGACCTGGCTACTTGTCGCGTGCAGCGGTATATCTTCCAGCTAAACTCCCACATCCGCAGCTGAACCACGGGAAAAGTGACGCCGCCTGCGCTTGCCGTCAGCTCAGCTGAGATAGCGTTGATCTGCAAGTGCGAAGGTGGGATCTGTGCTGGCTCTACCCTGAGGGCCGCAGGCCACATCGTGGCTAGACTCGAAACCTACGGTTCAGTGCCACGTCATGCCCCTCCGGACCCGAACCAGACCGAAGCCAGCAGGTAAGCACCGTTTACACCAGCTGTGTTTCAAGCTGCTGATGACTTTACCGTCAAGTGAGATTAACGCCAACACAATGCAAAAACACAAGAGCAGAATGCAGACCGTCGGCTTAGGCCTGCTCTAAAGGAGGCGCAACAGGCCTGTCTGCGGCCACGACGGCTGCCTGCATGGAAGTCGATGGTTTACAGTCAAGAAGAGGGTGTAGGAGATATTTTGGCGTCGCGGAATTCATCTCTCCAGCTCGTTTCTCTGAGTTGGTATTAGTCTGCTGGCCTCTTCCAAGAAATTCCGGAAGCTGCTCTGTCGTCGAAGTCGCAGCTCCTGCGTGAGCCCCGCATCTAAGCGTTCGACCGTGCTACCCCTCGTCATGGAATGTGTGGACTGGTGGTGCAAACCAAGGCACCCGGAATTGCAGGAGCTCTGTCTTGAACTGGACCAGACACCTGGCCAACAGCAGTTCGAAAATGGAATATCTTCGCCACCAGGCTTGACTGCACAGTCTCTAGGAAAGCACGGGCAGTTCACATCGAATACTGAACCCCGAAACCTGGAGCCGCAAGTCAGACATGCCAGACGGTCGACTGCAGGTCCGCTAGGCTGGTGCAAGCCGCATGTCCTCCACACCAGGCCAAGCCACGAAAGGAAGTCGGGATTTGAAAGAACAACTGCTGTCAACGTGTAGCCCTGGCGAATATGTGCAAGCTGCAAGCTCTGCAAAACTCATTGCTGAGATCCCTCTAATTGCAAGCAACACGACCTATGCTGGGCGCCGTGCCAGGACAACATCCTTCCATTGGCGCTAGCACACGCGCGAAAACGGGCAGCACCCGGAAGAGCGCACAATGGGGCCACCAGGACTTCGAGAAGTTAGGGGTGGGGGCGGTGGGAAGGGTTGTGAGTCTCGTACGTGCCCGATCTCCAGCTCGGGACGCTTAAGACAAAAGAGTCATTATTTTTAGCTACGCAGCTACGAAACTGTGAACCGGCTTGTCAGAATCGCTGGGAGGCGGTCGACTGCATTCTGGAAAAGCGAAAACTTGGGCCAACTCTGCGAGCATCCTGCAAAAATGCTTCCGCGGACATGTGCGGCTTCGCAAGAGTTTGGGAGCAGCTGCAAGACTGTCACCGTACGTCACAGTACGACTGCTGATGCAGATACTAGTAACGAGGGGCGGCACCCTGAAGATGGAGTCAGCAGCGGCGTCAAAGCCCCAGAAGCTCGCAACCTCCACATTGAGTTGATCAAGAGATATGTGGTGGCGTTGAAGTGAGGCGAAGGCCTGCCATGCTGTTCGTCCATCAAGATCGCGAATGCCTGCAAAGCTGCCAAAAGAGCGAAAGCATCGAGAAACTGTGAGCGGAGGCGGGATCATTTCTCACACTCGTCCCGAGAGATGTAGTTTCTAGGTAGTAGTTCAGAGGCAAACTCATGAAGCCAACGATCCTCCAGAAAGCAAGCACCGTTGGATCGACACGCACGAATCGATTGCCCGTCCTGAACGCTACCACGGATGCATTGCCTTCCTGTGTGCAGGCAATCCTCGTGACTCGTGCAAATATGTTCCCGGCTGTCCTTTAAATGGCGAGCGTATGCCTTTCTGGAGGCGCTGCTGGTGAGTGACCATTCGTTCTAGAATTGCAGCCTTGCAAATGGAAGGGGTGCCATTGGTACCGGAGTGGGAACCTGTTACCGTCACCGGCCTGGACGACAGAAGCGCTGCTTGCAAAGCTCTGTGCAAATCTGCCAGGGCGGAGGACGAGGATGCACTCTGCATGTGAGGCTGAACTGCATCGTTGTGCTCTCGGCCAGGAGCTGCACATGGGCATGTGTTGACTGAGGCAGCTTGGGTCTTGGCCTCTCCACTTCCAGCAGCTGCTGCACGATGAAGAGGACTCGGCCAAGGCACATTCAAGAACTGATATGTTTACGCTTCCTGCATCATGTCTGGCCGCCAGGTACTAGTTAGTGCACATGCAGCGCTTTTTTAAGACATAAGCGATGGCATGGAGCCGGGCAGCATTTGGTTACACGAGACTTCCCACAGCTGCGACGGTGCTGCAGGCTTCACCATGAGTACCGATCCGAGACATGGGCATGCCTTCGACGTTGGCCTTGAGTAGCTACTAGTATGCAATCTAACGGAGCTACATCACACCCTCCGCATCACAGCAGCAGACGTCCGAGTTGACAAACCCAGGTAAAGTGACGTCCTTCACAGACCTGGTCAGCCAACCAAACCTCAGGCAAGGCGGCAAGAATCACCCAAGGCTCGCAAGCTCCAGCCGATCGTCCTTTGGCTGCTCGCTTCGAGTTACATTCAGAGCTTTGCGTAGGTGAACCAAGCCCACATTCATTCAACCTGCATAAACCCGGAACTCCAAATTCAGGATCGAACTCCAGTGCAGACCAGACACTGACAACTGCCCCTGGCCAGCATATCCACCAGCGTCCCCCACAAAGCACCACCTCCAGCACCCGGGCAATTCGCCGTGCTGAGATAAGGCTCCAGGCCTGAGGGTTTGGGCTTACGGCTCAAGGCTGTTGTTGGAGCAAGCTTCCCGTGATTTCCCGATCTTTGATTCGAGGATCAGGGATGAGCGTGGGCAAGCACGGCATCGGAGCTCCATTTCCCAAAGGTGCAACGTGACTTTATCCTACTTATTCAGGGTACTTCCGTACTCACTCAAATGCTCGGCAGTGCACTCCCAGGACCCGAAACTCTTTGCATTCAGGCGTGGTGCAGGTTGTACGCTGCGTAACGATGTTCCTCCGCAATGCCCCAGTCGATGAACTTGGCAGACCTGATGTATAAATTCCGGGCTTCGAGACGTCTCTGTCTTTCTCTGCTGCTTCAACGCCGCACACGCACCACCAAGCTGCTGTTGAACAGGGATATTGCTACAAGATAAAGGCTTGGCACTACCGATAAGCAGGAGCTGCTGGATTCATCTCATCCCGTGTCTGAGCCTTGTTCCACGTTCTATTCCAGACTATGTCACGGGGCTCTGCCTGCTCAACACGCAGACGATTTTTGACAGCGACAACGGGTGTCATTCAGTGCAGGCAGATGGCAGGCCGTAGATAAAGCCGTTGCCGAAGTTGGCAATGAAGGCTGCCTGGGATCAACAGGACTGAGAATGAGAAACAGCCACCTAATCATGAACCCAACCTCTTCGACACCGAGTGGCGAGAGCCGTGACGAGTGCCAGCAGTAAGAAGTCCAGGGCTTCTCCAGCCACGGAAAGGATAATCCCAATAGACAAGTACCTCTCTGCTCAGATCTGGTATGTAAACCACCAACACGGAGGGTCAAGAAGATCAATGAACATGACATGATCTCAGCCCAGCGGCAGAAAGCACTTTCGTTTGGACCTGGGCTAGCACTCTCGGCAGTGGAAGCTAGACGCGAAGACACGCCTACACGGATCAGCATCACTCCGGTTCGGTGGCTCAGCTATGAGGAGATGTCTTCAATTCGGACACCTATGCCCCTTAGAGCTCGGGATCGAAGTAGGAGCAGGCGGATCTAAAACGTTAGTGTCAAAGGCATGGGAACCGGTTTGGACACCGGACACCGTTTGCAAACACCAAAAGCACGGAAATCGTGATCACGGTTCCCGTGCTTCTGCAACAGACATCTGCTCAACATCTGCCTGAAGACTGCTCGACTTACAATCTATTATGTACCCCGGAACTCTCATATGTGATTGAACGTATGGCGTCTTGGATGCCAGTCGGCATCAACAGCCCTGGTTGGCTAGAGACTCCAGAAGATCTGGCTTGATAAAATGTTTGGTCTGTTGCAGAGATCATTATGTGACCGCGCTCGGCACAGCATGGTAGTTCTGATGAGGTATTGCTGCGTCCTCTTGTGCACCTTCTTAAGGCTATCAACCGTCTGCCCGCCCGGAATATGGTCAACCCAGACCTGCAGATCCTTCTCTTCTCCGCTGTCTGGTCTGCTACCGAATTTTGTCAGATTAAAGTCGCCAGCAATTGTGTTAGAGAGCACCTACACGGCGAAAGAGCACCTAGCGACCTGGCATTCCAAACCCTACAGTCGAGAAAAAGGCCTGAGTATCCTCAAGACTCTCTAGACCACCCCATAAGTCCAACATGCGCACCACACGGTAACGGGAGCACAGCTGGCACTCCAGAAAGGGAGCACGAGTCCTACCCCCAAATGCGCGTGGGACTGGGCCGGCAAACGAGTTTGGCAGGCGGAAAGATGCACGTGCCGTGGTGGGATTACACGCACGGCACTGTGTCACCGTTGTCACCGCAACACAATCTCGAATCGCCCTTGGCGACGGAGCGCCACGGCGGGAGCTCGCGGGAACACTGACCACGACCTCTTCGCTCCGTAAGAACCCCAGAATCCCGCAGCGGTCCGTTCTCAGCATCACTCCCAGAGAGCTGTCTATGCCAGATAAGGGTACATGTTTCGCTGTTGATACCGTGGGTTCTGTGAAACGTCATGCCCGTGAGAATCCGCTGCTGCTTCCACTTATGAATATCATGCCGCGTTGCGTTACATCCAGGTACTGCGGCACCCGTCGGCTAATCGTGTCGCCAGCAGCCATGCAAGGAAACCAGATAAGAGCTGTGTAGAGGTCAAACCTGTGCTGGCGTTTCAGGCTCTGTGCAGCTTGGCATGGCCAGGGCTTTCTCTTTTTTCGTTTCAAGCGGCGGGATCAAGTGATCTTGGCTTTCAGGGCCACCAATGATGGGAACCTGGCGCTGCAGGTCGGCTGCATGCCGTCCTATCTTTGTGCTTGGCTGAGAGGTGCCTTTGGGCTGTTGAAAGTATTGAAGAGGAGTGGAAAGCCATCCTGGAAGAAACCAGGGGCACAATAAGCTGCCGTCGGACTCGGGGCTCAACATCGTTCCACCTCCAGCACGAAGTTGCCAATGAACTTTGCGATGAACCACCTACAGAGAAAGAAACATGACTCTGACAAGGGCCGAGGCAAGCCAAACCTGATGGTTAACTGTCGCCAATTTTTTGCCCAGCAGCGGAATCATGATGGGCACCCAGTCCTGATACTAAACCACGGAGGCGCCCCGCAGAGTGTTGGAGTTTCGGCATGACGGTCCAGCCAGCACTTCAGGGAGTTCAAGAAGACTTTGCAGCCCTTGCCTTTGCTTTTCACAGCCACGACCTGAAGGGCAACTCGTACCACCACACGGGCTACCGCACAACGAAGGCTCAGCCTCTCTTGGCCGTTTGCTGTGGAAGATCCAGATCGCAATAGGCCTTACGTGGCTGTTGAGGGCAAGGGTGCAGACATTTGCCAACGTAGTTGGCAGCCGGACATGAGCATCCTCGGGCGCCTACAAGCATGCGCAATTGTAGGCATAATAGACAATCACCTCGAATGCAGATAGATTCAGGAGCATGGAAGGCCCTGCAAGCTTTCGTCGTCGAACAGCACTGCACACTTACATGGTAACTTACGTGTACAAGATACAGCACCTCCGGCATGATCTGCTCTCGATTGCACTCCGAATGCATGGCGTTAAGGTGCCATGGTCGTGCTTCGCAACGTTCGATGACACTGTGACTTGATGACAGTCAGAACCATGCAGAAGGCTGCAGCTAAAGGGCAGGCATCCCGAAGTATTTCAGCGTTCCTGGGTAGACAGCAAGCCAGATGCCAATCACAACTCCATTGATGCGGTCTGACTAGATCCTGCAAGTAGTGCTCAGCGGAAATGATTAAAGACAACCCGCTTTCACAAACAGGCGTCCCGTGGCATGACCTGACACTGGCTACTTTGAATTTCGCCAAAGGCTCCGAGGATTGTGTTGTTCACAAAGAACCCCAGGGGAGCTCCTCAGCTGGTCCAGGTCAAAAGCATCTGCACATCTCTCCACAGTCCGAGTCACCCATGATCGCGAAGGTCTTGGTGTTCTTCCCTAGCCTTCAGGACTTGAGGCCATCGAGGCAGGTGCCTAACCAACCGCACGTGAGGGCCGCTTAAGCGGCTTGGGCTCCGACGAGCTGATCACGCTCAGGAAGGTGCCCTCAAAGAGGCCGACGGCCACGCCTCCCAGGATGTACCTTGCCCAAACGAGCAGAGCTCTCATCTGTGAGGATCCTTTGCACCCTTCGCCCAGCGCTTGCCGACGAGGCGCTGCAGCCGCACGACCCAAAGGTCCGTGACTCCCGCGCCCCAGACGAAGATCATGGGGACTAGGAGCGCCGCCATCATCACCACCTCAAAGCGGTTCCCGTCCCGGTTGCTAAAGGCGCTGCCAAAGAACTCTGCCAAGACACGTAGGAGGTGTAGACGATGCCTGCAGGCTGACACATGCAAACCTCATCAGCTTGTCTGCACATTGCCGATGCATGGACTCGGTCGCACGGGCAGCATCCATGCAACCCTTCCCATGTAGTTTCATGGCACGCACATCAGGAAGGCTCACGGTCAGCAAAACGATGCCGTGCTACATCGGCCAGCAGACATGTTTCTGTCGTGGAACTTGCTTGTCCGTTCCCTATAGTTTCAGCAGACTGAGACATTGAGTGACACCTACATTGCCTGCATGTGTGTGTGAGCATATGTATGTGTGTATATATATATATACATATATGGGCACAAGACTTGCGCATGCCTGTACATGGGCGCCATAGCAACAACCACCTCCTGTCAAATGACTTCCAAATTTATATGCATGTCGCCAGTAAAACCTCGTCTGTGCAAAGGGGGGGACACGAATCTGGAAGAAGCTCGTCGATACGCAGACGATTGCAGACGTGTGTAATGGGAAAGCTGATGAAAGCACCGCACAAGATGTGCATTCGCATGAAGCACATCGGTACGAATGCAGAGACACTGCAGCAGTGAGCACAAACCTAGCTGCTTCGAAGCCTGCAGGGTCCGTGAATACGAGGAAAGCAATTTGACCTTGGTTGTTAGCAGGTGTGCGGCGCTGCGTTCTACTAGCTGCCAGAAGCTTCGTGCTTCCGTGAACTGCAGGCAATGTCTGTTCACCCGCTTAGGTATAGTTCAACACAAGTTAGAAGACCCGAAACTCAGATGCGCTTGCAGAATCGGGCTCGTGCAGATTCGCATGACCATCTTGGCCAACTGAAAGGTCGCAGTTGCTTCCTGGCGCCCCACGCAACAACCATGATCCGACAGGCCCATGCACAATCGAGGGGAGGGGAGTCACGGCTCCCGTCGCACTAAAGTCTGAAGGCTGATGGAGGGCTTCAACGGTACGATCTTTGCAGGAATAAGACATCTCGGGGTGCACGCTGCTCGTCGTCGAGCACTGAAGCAGCGAAGCCCGCCCACGACTCCCAAATTTTGCAGACCCCAACACTGCTAGAATTCAGTTTTGCCTGGAACTCCGCGGACATCTCTTTCCCATGGATGTGCAGCTTATGTTTCAACGCATGCTGTGGACTCCTTGGCTAGAGCCAGACGAAGTGTGCTTTTCAGAAGACAAGCACCGACAATAGACTGCAGGGCCAAGAATCCCAACCATGGCTCCATAGCCCTGCACGGCTCCAATCAGTTCGCTGAGCCCATTCTACAAATGCTCATGACTCTGCAGACTTCACGCGTGCGGTTCGAAGCTCAGAACAGCCCGTGCCAGAGTGCGTTCAGGCTGCCAAGGTGTGAGACTGTGGCAACCTCGACACCTACCCAGTCCGCCTGCCTGGAACATGAACATGAATGCCAGGAGGAGTACCCCTTGGATCCATGCACAGCCCAAGCTAGGCTCTCCAACAATGTTGACGCATGCGTCACGAGAAAGGCTGCAAAGTGTATAACGAGGCTGATCTGCTCCAGCTTCGGTTCAAGTTTTGCGACAACCTCTAGAATCTGCAGGCAGCACCCAGCTTGCCCAGATCGCAATCCAGGGACGCACAGGAGGAGGGTCATAGTCACTGTCGGAATTCCTTGGAATTCAAGCCCACTCGCTGGAGCTGGACAGGAACAAGAAGATGACTCAGCCGAAGTCCAGGCATCATCAAATCACACAACTTGGCCCTGTCATGATGTCATGTCTCAAGCTTCCTTCAAGGATTCGCCGCTTCGCCATCTCACGAGCGAGGGCAAAAGCATCGGCCAAGTAACAATGCGGCGTCGCTCTGCTCCTCCACATCCGTGGAACCTTCTCATGTAAGGGCGAATCTATAGTGCTAATGCTGCCAATGACATTAGACGCTTGCGACTCGACATCAGGTCAAGGAGAAAGCGCTGCCCCCGCAGGAAGTGTTGGCAATGGTGTGGCCGCAGGAGGGGTCCAAAATCCTGCAGCTGAGCCACCTTCGTAGCCGTCGTCGGACTCGCTGTCCTTGCACAACCTGGTTTCGGAACAGTTGGCTCAGTCTCTCACTTGGACAATCCAGGACAAAGCACATGAAGTGCATGCTACGAGGCTAGCAGCTCTGCGATACCCAACACACACATTGTCAGACAAGATACGCATCAGCCATGGCGACTTTGCGCGCGCTTGGGCCGATAAGCTTCTTGCAGGGTCGTTCAGTTGAGCAGAACAGCCAAGTAGCGAAAGACCTGGGAAGTCGCAGCCCCAAGCCTGGGCTGAGGCACTGGCGTCTGCCCGCGATAGTCTCGCTGGAAGAGCTTCTCAGTCAGCCTCTCCTGCGTGGCTTCACCCACCTCACGCTGCAGCAAAGCTTCTGCTGAAAACTTGCCTATTACACAGCTCTGCTGAAAGCTCTGGCAGGGCCAACCTCCTCAGCTGCGCTGAGCACAGCAAGGGCAAGGTGCTTCATGCCGCGAGAACATGCCTGTGCGCCGACAGCGACTGCGATTGGAGCAAAAGCCGTCGGGAATACGTGGAATTGAAATTGTTGCCACAAGACACAACATCATGCATGCGCTGCATGCAGCAGCCGATTACCCTGGCACAGCACGACACGAAAAGCGGCGAACCTCGTGGAGCAGCGTCGAACCGTAGCGATCGTGAGAGATCAGCATGTCGGGATCCGCTCGGATCTGTCACGAGTTAACAGCCAGACTGACAAAAACACATTGAAATGGTCGCATCCCCTCCCCTACAGCTGCTCGGACGAACTTCCATGGTCCATCTGCAAAACAAAAACTCTTTCATCCTTGAAATCAGAACATGACCAAGTCCTCAGGAAAGAGTCGAGCGCAGCTTGCGGGCCTCCTCTAGAAATCCTAGGGCCTCGTCCTCGTGGGCGAGATCGATCTCCTAGAGATGGGATGATAGGCTTCTCTTGTGCCGAATCTTCAGCTTTTGAGAGCAGACCCTTTATGGCACACCCGGCGCCCGCACAGGAAGGATCAAGCTTGGTGCTCTACCTTCATCAGATCCTCCCTGGCTTTGAGGCATCGCTCCTGCGGCCAAGGCATTACGCCGCAGTTTTGCAGGCAACCCGTGGGGAACAGCTGCGGGAACCCCGCGCAAATGCCTAGAAACAGCAAGGGTGGTTCGTGAGCGCCGGCCTTCTGAAGGCGAAGGGCATCAACCCGCTCCTGGGCCTGAGAGTGCAAGCCAGACTTCTCACAGCACGTCGTCTAGTCATAAGGATGATGATGGTATTGGGAAAAATGGAACAGGCACTGGCTGACAAAGACCTGATGTGGGAACCAGCTCGTCTACTGGAGCGGCTACTTTTGCAAGAAAGAAGTTTGGAAATGAACAACAAGCAGGATTCCAGAAACGAAAGCAAGAGCTTCGCAAAATACAAGTAAAATACCTCATACTGCCACTAAGGAAGCTTCAGATCGACATGACGGCATTGATAGTGCACTACACCACCACCCTGACTGAGACGACGAGTAACAAGCATAACAATTTCATATGGCTGCTACTGCTGCTTCCTCTGCTATGACAACTCACGACGGAAGTCTCCACCCAGCAGCATCCAGAGCCCCCTCCACGCGGCCTGACGCTTCAAGGCTTCCTGCTCAAGGCGGGCATTCTTCTTCTCCAAGGCGGCCTCTGCCAGGACAAAAAGAGCCCCAGGACAGGAACCGATAAAGCCTGCTCTCGTCGCCTGCCGTGACCTGGCCACGGACTCCTGAACAGCCCGCATTTCGAAAGGCGCAGCATGCGCAGCATGCAGGTCTCAGGGCGTGTTGTTGTCCAACATGAGGTGGGGTCTCTATGCTGGCCAATCGCCGAAGATCCTCCAGCACATCCGAGTTGCAGCTTGTGTCTTAATGCGAGAGTATCCAGGTTTCTGCTCCATCATGTGTGGAACAAATGTCGGAGCGTGTGTTTAAGAGCTCCATCGAGGGAGTCCTGTTGTCCGACTCCGCAGTCCTCTCTGAGCCTAGACGCCTCCATGCATTGATCCATGAGTCAACATCCACCGAACTGCTGTACCGCACGTACCTGTGGGTACAGTTTCCCAAATCTTCTGGAATGAATGGAATCGCCTTGCTCACTTGCTTAACATAAAATGATGATCCCAATGGCTGCACATGCTCACGATGTATATCAGTGGTGACACCAACTGTTTGCTTCATTTTGCTCGTCACAGAGGCAGAATGAAGGTGTAGGCACAGCCTGTACCATTGTGCCAAGCCCACGTCAAGCCTGTAAGAGACCCTCACTCTCATCAGTCACATCATACCCTGCATCGTACAAGGCCAAGCGTGTCTCGAAGTCCATGGACTCCTTGGCACCAGCATCCGGTTCCAGGTCTAACAGACTCTGACATGTCGGTTGTGACAGTTTGGGAATCCCAAAGCTCAAACCTGTCTGTCTTTCTCGGAGGGTCTGGGGTCTGTCTTTACTACTGCCCACAAGTTTACCGGTCCTTCCTATCTTTCTGTTTCAACAGGCTTACGGTATATAGGAGGTCCTTTATATGTCGTTTGCCGTGCGCGTGGGCTCTGGAAATCATTGTTCCTTCACCCTGCGTGCATTGGCGAGTGAGCCCAGTCGGACGGCATGAAACTCAAGTGAGGGACTCCGACATGCAAGCCTTTTCCGAAACCCCGTGGAGCTTTGTGCTCCCACCTTCCTCTCGCGCAACTTACTTTAGCCCTCCTCCCTGGTTAGTTCTAGCCAGACAGCCAGAAAACAACACAAGTATTCAAGGTACACACCCCCCGAGGCTCCCAAAACGACACTGCTGTTACACTAGACAGTTCGGCTACGTCTCTGTCTGCCACCTGTCTAGCTCGGGCTAGGTCAGGCCCCTGAGATGCAGGTAAAAGCATGAAAGAAAAATGAAGATACTTTCGTATGGGGCGTCTGGCTCATCACACGATCCCGGCGAAACGAGCCTCTCTTTCTCTCTCTCTTGCTTGCAATCGGACAAAGGAGCGCGCCTCTCTCTCTCTGTCTCTCTGTCTCTCTCACTCTCGCACTCTCTCTTCCTCTCTATCTGCTGATCTACGTCTGGGCCACCATCGACAGGTGGAAGGAACTATAGATGGAAAGACTCGGCAAGGTGGATTCGGGGCGCTGTGATTCCCATGCACCTTGACCCGAAACCTTGGTGGCTGTCTTCCTCAATCGCGTTTGTTCGTTGCCGGGGCCCTCTGAGAACCTACGGCCCGACGGCTGGCGAAGGATTAGATGCAGACAAACGGCCAGCGAGAACACCTCTGAGAGGCCCCGATCCAGCTCTTGCGGTGCCAGATTCAGTGCTCGAACATAATTCAACCTGCAATCCTCCAAAGGCAGAACGAAAACAAAGTGGCTGGGAAAGGATTGGCTTCAGGAGGTCCCCTCGGTCCCGTCCTCACCGTCTCTCATGTTACGAAAGGAACTGGGCGGCTGCGGATCAGCCAGAAGCTTGTGCAGCCATCCAATCATTGTGTAACAGCCGTTTCCTGTGGCAACCTGCACAGCACTGCACCGCCCGCTGATCTACGATCCCCACAGCTCCAGAAATGCAGTGGCTGGGCTGCATTAGAGTAGCCACACCGCTGTTGGCACAGAATTCTCCCGATGGTTGCAGTTGCTCCCACAGCAGCGAGTTCCGCAGCCTCCTGCAAGGCAGAGTGGATTCTGCTGGTCGTCCCTACATTATGCTTGAGGGCACTTCTGAGCACGGAGATTCTTCGCATGCTGCCTTCTTCTAGATTTTAGAACAAGCTTTAAGCTCCACCCTGGTGCAGACTCCAGACCACCCTTCCGTCAAGGCTCAAGCTTGTGCATCCTTGCACGAAAGTGCTAGCATCGGCCTGGCGCTGCTGGTGGTCCGTGACACGCCCAGGAATTCCAACACGCTGCGCACTTCGGCAGTCTTCCTCGGACTTGATACAAATAAGCTCTCGTTACACTGTGCAACCGAGCTATTCCAAATTACTCCTATCACAACTCTCGCTCCCTCATGCTATTGTTCCATGGGCAGAGGGCATCAACACAATATCCGTAACGCGCTTTCTTCTGCAGGGTTGAGGGCCGAAGCCCCCTCCCTCGCAAGTGCCCACTTATCCCTTCCTCTTCTGGCTGAGGGGATGGTCAGATTCCCCGTGCTTCAAGCCCACCCGATAGTGAATATCGAATGTAGTGCTCCCTTGGCGCTAGGCCTGTTATAAGTAAGATGATCAAGGAAAGGGTGTACTTACATTGGATCAAAGGCTTCTTTTCCCCAGCAATTCAACAGTAAAGAGAAGCATAAGCATCTGAAAGAAGATAGCCACAAGGATTGCTGGTAGAATGTCCCTCTGTCTTATGACAGATTACAAGTCAAGGTTGGCTCGCAAATCTCAGTGCCAACTTGGGACAAGCCTTGGATCATTGTCAAAATCTACCACTTATCCCTCTCTCTCTCCCTCTCTATCTCTCTGAACCTCTCGTTTTGGTTTGCATTCTGGACACTGCTCTCAGCGTGCTCCTCAAAAGGGTCTAGCTATAAGGTCTATTTGCAGCAACGGCATCAGAGGCGGCGACAGCGTTCTCGTGAGCATGTAGGGCTGGGCTAACACTGACTTTGCAGGCGTCAGCGGCCACGCAGGATCAACCAGAAAGAGGGCTACAAAATCCCTCGATGCTTCTGCACTCCCACGATTGACCATCCGGAGAACCCGGTGGGCAACCTGGCGCTCATGGTAACACTTGTGGAAAGCTGCGCATTCAGGAAAGCAGTAGTGTATGGGATCCCCAACCTGACGAATTGGCTCTTGTATGGGATCCCAGACCTGAATGGTTGCGGAACCCTGCCTGGTAGTTCGAGAAGACTAGAAGGCTGCCAGTGGAGATCGGCACACGGCAGGTCTGCAAGCACGACCCGTCGGAACGCAGGGCTGAACGCAGTCCTTGTAGGAAACCCATCGACAAACCTTTAAGCCGTCTGCTGGGTGATGAAATCTGAGGTTCAAACACAAACCATGCCCAGTTGAGTCGTCGCTTTGGGCTTCGTGCTTTGGGGCTAGAATGCAAAGGGGCCCGTGTTCTTTGCTGCTGTCTTTTCATAATGCGGCGAATGTGCGGTCTTTGGTCAGCTTGTAGAAATTGTTGCTGCAATCTCCAACGCCCAAAACATCCATCGGCTCGCGTCCACAGAATTCCATGTCGCCGCCCTCCAGGCTCTCGTCGACGTGGTAGTAGTACCTAGAAGCCAGGAGATCAAGAGGCTGTTGACCAGAAGATTTTGATCAGAAAAAGCTGGCAGCGCGGTCAGCGGTACTTTAATCCCTTATTTGCAGCGCTAAGAAAACTGCAAGCCCGAATAGTGCATGCAAAGTTGGGAGCACGGCGCAATACGACAGCAGCAATGTGCTCCCGGTAGCCATCGACATGCCAGAGACCAACGTATTCGGAATCAGATCCATCTGTGGCAGCAGCTGGCACAGTGATTCGCTGCGCCTTGAATACCACCTGACAGTATATGCGGCATATGCACAACATCGCAGAAAAATACTGCCAGAACTCCACAGCATGCTTCTGACAATTGGGCCGGATCTTTTCCCAAAGCGACTTTCCGAGTTGTTTTCGGTGACACCCCGTCAGCCGTGTCTCCACCTGGATTCTGTGCTCGTCAAGCAGGAGCTGCGGCCGCCGCAGCCGGGCAAGAAGTGGAAGTGCGGCCTGGAAACACTGAGAATGCGGACACTGGCCTACCAGCGAATGACCGAAAGCTCACTGCTGCCCTCGAATGCCTCCAGGACAGGCTGCGCGACTCGCGCCGCCAAAGTTGGGAAAGTGTGGCTTCGAGGACCTGGAAACAACCGCGGACATGGTGCAGATCCTGCGATTCCTGCGTTTGCTAGTCTCAGCTCTTGTTTGGCCTCCAACGAGGTGTGCCCTCCCATCTGCAGATACGTCGAACTCACACGGCACCCACACAGGCCCATCATCCGTGTCAGAAAGAAATTGGTTTGGGTCCACAATCATCTCATAGCGGGGAAGGGGTCGATCCTGCGTTTCCGCTGCATGTGCATCAAGAAGCTTCTTGATCGACGGAATGTCGGTTTTGCAGCTCCAAACATCCAAGTTCCTGCTGCCCTGCTTGGAGTCTCCGGAGAGCTGCCACACAGGTGCCACAGGAAAGTAGCCAAGCGGCTCGAAAAGGCCATCTCTAAGACCGTTGTTTCTGCCGCGGCCTATCTGATATGCAAGGACACCCGCCCTGCCATAGTTCAAGAGGAGGTCTGAATGCTCTGCCGGATCGTCTGTTATAAACCGCCGTGGCTCACAGATGGCCTGGACGATCTCGGGCAGCTCTTCGAACTTCCTATCTAGGCTCAAGCTTCCTTCTCCCAAACTAACTTCTGTCGGCCTGAGCTTCTTGCAGACGATGGCAACGGGAAGCAAGGCGTCGCAGTCCAAGTCCACTCGCAGCACGGTTTCTGCAAGACTTTGCTGCAAATCCGAAAACAGCATCCCGCTGCGAAGGGCCCGACCATTCCGCAGAAGCGTCAAGCCCGCAGTCGGGACGCTTAAATGGAGCGTGATCTCCTCCAAGACTTGGCCGAGCATCTTCGAGGCCAGGCCTTCTTCCGGCACCAGGAACAACTCCTCCCCTCCCAAACCCCGACCTGAAAGGCCCGATGCACTCAAGGACATCGCTACCATCTTCTGCCTGGGAGCTGGCTTTGGCAGGCTCAGCTTTGTCACGCGGCTTGGACCGTAGCTTGTGCGCACGGATCCTTCGGGGAAGGCCTCCATCCTCTCCAGCAAAACCTGGGAATACTGGGACCGCCGCACATCTGTGCCATGTGTGCAGAGGGCCATGGCCCAGAAGCCCGGCGAGCGCTCTCCGGCGACAGAACTTGAGCCGAGCACTCCTCTCTCAGACTCTCGAGTCTGCGAGAGTCTGCGAGTCTACGACTAAGGCAGGCGCAAGCCTGACCCAAAGCTTCCGCCACGTCTTTTTCATTCCATGACATCCAGCAGATCCCTGGCTCGCTGTTCGCCTTTCCAGGGGCCGAAGAGATGCTTGAGCCCCCCGGCCCAGTCATTCCTTCTACTACTTCGCGGTGGATCCGCACAAACGATTTAGGCGAATTTCGTGACAGCTCAAGCCTCAACAATCTGCATGCCAGCCCTAACTCTGCGATGGGGCAATTAATTGAACTACACTTCCCCAACAGTTGCTGAAAGAATCCCTTTTTAAGGACTGCAAGGCTTGCGGTGTGCAGGAGAAGCATCCACCAAAATCCATACATGTTGCGACTGGCGCAGCAATCTCCGCTTTGACAGGCCTCCCAGGCCGCGCTGCGGGCGGCGCGTGGGCACCGCAGGGGACGGCGACGGCAGAGCGAAGCGCACGCGAGAGCTCGACGTGCGGCCTTGCACGAGGCGTGCAGAATGGCCCGATCCAATCCACATTGCACCTTGTGATTCTGAGCTCCTTTCAATCCTCCCTTTGACTCTTCTTCTCTGGCTTTTGGAGCAGAGCAGAGTGAAAGGGAGAGAGTCGTCCGACACTGCTTTCCCCTGCTCTAGTGATCTGTTAACTATTAAGATTACCCTGTTAAGATTTCGCGACTGAAAAAACGCGCCAGATTGTCCCGGTAATGAGCCGCGACGTCACTCAGATTTGTGCGGGATACTCAGACGGTACGGATTGCGTCGAATTGGGCTCAGGGGCTCCTCCGTGCCAACCATCTTACAGGATCCGCACAGTTCTGGTGCAGAGCCTTGCGATAAGGAAGGCCCTTGCGCAAATTATGCGCCAGCTCTCCGAGAGAAGAATGAAAAGAGACGACATGGGTCATGGGATTGGGGGCCGCGGCTCGAGAAGCACAATAACATTCCTTCAAGCCGCGCTGTCTCTGGAGCTCCTTCTCCTTCTCTCACTCCCTCCTTGGGGCAGTGCTGGCCTCCACCTACCGCGCCTGTCCATCTCGCAATGGAGGCTTTGGCCTTGACTGCCCACAGCAAGTTACGCAGAGACTCTCGGAACGGTATCCAAAGCTGCAAGACACCTCTTTTCGCCGCAGCACCGACAGGCGCTTGTCGTCTGATGTGGCTAACCTCTGCAATCATGCTGCAAGAGTCATGTACGTGGTCGCGGAGCTTGCCGACTCTTAAGCGCATTCGTCTTCTGCATCGTGCGCGTGGGACATCTTGTGGTGAGCAGCAGCACATTGACGCAACACGATGCCGAGTCCTGAAGCTGCGAAAGTCACTGGCGACCGTCACTTAGGTTCAATGCCAGCTTATCAAAGCCAGTAGCGCCGTAGACGAACCAAACCTACAGGGAGAGCAGGAAGGGTCACGGGCTCCAACCGAAACCTTCGACCATAAGAGCACCCAAAACACACAGCAAACACAAAAACGAGCGATGCTTTGACGAATTCTCATGGTCTTTGGCCTCGCCATGTGTCGGAACCCCCTCGAAGGTCATAACACCCTGCTTGTGGGCAGAGCGATCATCTGCGGATTCGTCTACTTCCAAAGTGACCTCGTGTTGTGGGAGCTGGGACGTGAACTCTTCGGAAATCGTGAAGCTCTGATCGCAGCTTCGTGGCACTCTTGGGCCGAACTGACTTCAGCTCACTTCTCCAACTTCTCGAGTCACGGAAACGGAAGTTCAGCCTCGGAGAGCACAAGGAGAACGTCCCTGGTCCCTGGCCTGCAGTATGCCCGCTATGAGCGGCCTGGAAGTGCTCGGATCTTGAAGCTTTCCCAGAGATCCATCGCCCCAAGCACTGAACTTGATTTCAATCGCGTTCCAGCCGCATTGCCGAACCTGCCAGGAAGCCGAACTTCTTCTGTGGGGCGGGGCAGCGCCGTGTATCCGACCTGAATCACGGAGCAGAAGTAGTCCCCGTTGTAACCGCTTATTCCAGCGTTCCTCGGCAGCACTTCGCGGTGTGAGTGTGTGTGACGGTTGATGCATCCATCATGGTCCTCCTTGGGCTGGTTCCTCGCTGAATTCTGCCCCAACGAGTCTCTGCACTCTTCAATCGCAACATTACATTCGATACTCACGGGAGGAATCCTTTCGCAGCCGTTCCAATCCGAAGTGAGATTGACGAGGGATCCTGCTCCGGCTTCCCAGACATTCCCTGGCGACTGCTGCGGAACTCTATCAGTTTTTTCTCAGCCGTGGTATCAGGCAGAAGCCAAGATCAGGGTCAGTGGAGACGTGAAACGAACTTTATCATGCCAGCAAGAGTCTCGAGAAAACAGCCAGTGCAGCGAAGAGCCGTCACATCCGTCTCCTGCACTGGAGGTTCCCTGGAGCACCGAACGACGGCTTTGGACATCACACTAGCAACCGACAAACGACATGTCTCCTCCTTGATACCGAGAGCTTCCAGTGTCCTGTCTCCGTCGGAGGCTACGTCCAAAACACCTTAGGCAGCAAGATTAGGCAGCAAGAGCATTGAGTTGCTGGTGGGCAGAAATGCAGCCAATATACAAAAAAAACAAAGGGCATTGAAACGGAAACCTCTCCACTGATAAGGCTTCAGAATACGTCTTCCCCCACTGCATGAAATCAAGTAGCTGGTGCCCGACGTCAGGCGAACCTCCCAAGGCGCGACGTCAAGCGCTCTCGCAACTGCCTCGTAGAGCTCCACCAGCCTCGCAGAGGCCTCAATGGAGACCTGAAAAGAGAAGCGAAGCAGAGCTAAACGATCAGCCCAGAGCCCAGAGCTCGGACCGGAAGCTGAGGTGTGAACTGGATACGTGTTGCCATTGATCGCCTGAACTTGGAGATCCACGACCTCGTGCATTTCTTTGAAGGGGATTCGGATGGGATGCCGGGCGGAAGCTCAAGGAGTGCACTCAGAATAGAGCCTCTCCTCCCTTCTGGCGGATGTCTGCGGACGGCGCCGGTGGTCTGAAGTCGTCGGTCCCAGTACTGTTTGCCAGGCCCATACTCGCAAGCAGCCCCGGTCGCCGCCATGGCCGACTAGAGGCCACGGAGCCAAGAGTTTTCAGGAAGTGACATGAGGGCCCAGGCCAAGTGAGCACAAGGAGTCTTCAAGCTCGCCACAGCAGTCTCTGCACACTGAAGATTTGGGCGCATGGCGAGTGGCGGCCGCTGTGTTGCGCCTGTGCAATGGCAATGGTGACTTCGCAGGACTTAGGCTCCCAACAAGACCACAGCGCCCACATTGCCATGACTCAAAGCAGTCTGAGGACAGCTCAACTGGAGATACTGCCAGAGTCCAGGGAGTGATCCTCACGTTGCGAGCCTAATGTCTTCCCTTCAGGCTTGTAAGTTCAGTAGGGGCAGAAGCATACATGTTCGGAAGAGACACCCAAGAGTCTCACAACAACATCCGTTCAAGACTGATACCAGAATTGCCAAATACCAATGGTCCGGTCTTCCTGCTACAGCGAGAAGGCAAGTTGAAACAATCGAGTGCTGCTAGAGACAGGGTTTCTTCGCACAGGCCCTAGGCTTGCAGGGCCTGCGGCACAGGATTTCCGCTCTCAACCTCTGGCAGGACCTGGCTCCAAACTCAAAACGACAAAAGCCTGTATGAGTTCCTTCTGGTAGTTCGATGGTCACTGGATCTCGGAAGCTCTGCTGTATGCCAATCAAAGCGTGCTTAACAAGACGGTGCTCTGGCACTGTGATGCAGGCACCTTCCACCGCAGCATCATCTCAGCAAGTGCTGCATTCTGGTCTTGTAAGGACATGACCTGCTCGAGGATGCCCGCTTCAACTTCAGAACAAGGTGCACATGTTGCGGAAGCTCCGATGGCCTGCTCGTAGGACTGAAGCCGAGTCTGCTCCTTGTCATAGCACCGACTGCGCTATTTCGGTCTTCGGAGCCCTCGGGTAGCTTAGGGTGCTTGGGCTTGCCGAGTCACATCAAGGAAGTATGCCCCAGCCATGATGATCAGCATGGCCACCTTGCCAACACTCACGAGGCAAGCAGTAAAGCCCCCTGAAAATACCGGCCAAGGCGCGCTGTACATGCCATATCGAACCTGAACAGGACAGGTAAAACTCGAATGTATGAAGCCTTCAGCTAGTGTGGCAGGTTACAACTCACGAACGCTTTGAGTGCCGTCTAAATCCTTGCTAACTGCGGGGTAGCAGCATGAAGCAAATCTAGTGACTCTAGTGCAAACCGGAAGCATGGTCAAACGCAAAGAAGTCCATGAAGCCACCTTCCGGGACCCGAATCAATCAGGGATTTCACGGATTTATCGACTGCTGCGAGCCTTGATATGCCAACACGATCATCAGGGAGCAGACTTCGAACCCAACCAAGATGCAGAGCACCACCGAGTGTACCCGGCACATTACCTGGCTCTTGCTCTTGTGTCCAAACGAGCACACCATCCCTGGAACTGCCCTTTTCTTTTTCAGGCTGGGAGTCAATATTGGAGCTCACCGGGTTGTGTGCCAGTCGACCAGCGGAGATTTCTGTTTCTGCAGAATCCTATAACCATCACCGAGCTTCTGGTTGCTGACGTCAAGCGAAACGAAGGACTCAAGATCGATTGCTGTGGTTGTTACATTGCTCCTCTGCCGGAAGTGGACTGCCCGATGCTGACTTTCGGGAGCCCCTTCTGATTGCTGATGCTGACTGCTAGAGCTAGAGTCAGGACATGACACTTCCTGGCGAAATCAAGCTTCATCACCGTACCACCACTGCCTGTCTTTCCTGCTTTTGCCGAGTTTCATGCCGCACATGCTATCAGCGTTTGCCTTCAGAAGTCTCGTTTCCACGAAGCCGCAAGCACAAAGAAGCCAAGGCACAGCAATGGCCGAAAACCTGAGCAACGTCGTACATGCACAGTCACACAGCACCTCCACCACACTCAGAACTTGGAATACCATCTGAGACTCTGAGACAGCAGACCACAAAGCGTCGCCCACAAGGATCTGGGGAGGAACGTTCCACAGTAGAACGTCCAGGAGGCCAAGCCTGACAAAGCCGATGCACAGCAGCTGCTTGCAGAGCATTCGACTTAATGCTTCCATGTGTGTGTGTGTGTGTGTGTGTGTGTGTGTGTGTGTGTGTGTGTGTGTGTGTGTGTGTGTGTGTGTGTGTGTGTGTGTGTGTGTGTGTGTGTGTGTGTGTGTGTGTGTGTGTGTGTGTGTGTGTGTGTGTGTGTGTGTGTGTGTGTGTGTGTGTGTGTGTGTGTGTGTGTGTGTGTGTGTGTGTGTGTGTGTGTGTGTGTGTGTGTGTGTGTGTGTGTGTGTGTGTGTGTGTGTGTGTGTGTGTGTGTGTGTGTGTGTGTGTGTGTGTGTGTGTGTGTGTGTGTGTGTGTGTGTGTGTGTGTGTGTGTGTGTGTGTGTGTGTGTGTGTGTGGTGTGTGTGTGTGTGTGTGTGTGTGTGTGTGTGTGTGTGTGTGTGTGTGTGTGTGTGTGTGTGTGTGTGTGTGTGTGTGTGTGTGTGTGTGTGTGTGTGTGTGTGTGTGTGTGTGTGTGTGTGTGTGTGTGTGTGTGTGTGTGTGTGTGTGTGTGTGTGTGTGTGTGTGTGTGTGTGTGTGTGTGTGTGTGTGTGTGTGTGTGTGTGTGTGTGTGTGTGTGTGTGCGTGCGTGTTGACAAGTTCCAGGCATGTGCAAGTCCACCATACAGCCTTTTAACTTCACTTACATGTCAGGTAGGCATCTCGGGCAGCTCCGATGCATTCTGTTTGGCATTCCCCTTTCTCAGTGTCCCAAGTGCACGAGGCCATTTTTCTTGTGAACAAGAGTTATGCGCACTGCAGCATTCCTATACTGATCTAAACAGCGCTGCATGCGCCTTTCTGCACATTGATGCTTCAAAAAACGCTCAGCTAAGCTCAGCTCATTCCTGCTTTACACGGCCTCTCCCTCGCCGCTTTTGCCCCAGTGGTCCCAGCATCCGTTGCCCTTGCGCTGGGTGTAGTAGGCGGCGGCTCGCTCCTCGCCCTTGAACGGCACCTGATGTTTTCGTGCTTTCAAACGAGGACAAGATTCAGCCCCAGATTCCCCGCGCCCCCTCTCCCTGCAATTCTATCTCCCGGCCTTGACGTATCCTGCGAACTCCTCCAGCTCACCCTTCTCGTTCTTCTTCCAGGTGTAGGTGTAGCTCTCGGTCTTCTTCGCCGGCTTCAACGGAAGGACATACAGGCCGCTAGGGTGAGACATCTCAGGATCATCCTCGTTCACCCACTTGGAGCCAGCCATGCGCACCACGGCGCCCTCCGGCCTGCAGCCCTTCAGTGCGGATCCGGTGAAGCTTGGGCCCCAGGCCATGTAGGCCAGGGCGCCCAGCGCCAGAAATCCAGATCCAGCACGGCGGTTCATCTTAGCTTAGGATTGGCAGGAGGGGTGGCCGACTTGGAGCCAACTCGTATTGCAGCACGTGGCAGAGAACGTACACATGAGTACATGCCACACTCACACTACCGCCCGAAAGAAACATGACAGACAACCAAACGTAGCCCGTGCGGCTGAAAGACCTGTCGGAAGTGTTTCTTCAGCATAAAGATGCGGAACAAACCCTTGCCAGGATCTCCTATCCGCCGGGCAAGCACAACACTGCAGGGGAATACTAAATCAAGAGCACGCAAGACATGTGTGAAATTTGGATCTATAGCACTGACTCATTTGTCATGCTGCCACGGGCGTGCTTGCGATGTACAGAGGGGGCAGTCGGTGCTCAGACTGCCTCTCCCTCGCCGCTTTTGCCCCAGTGGTCCCAGCATCCGTTGCCCTTGCGCTGGGTGTAGTAGGCGGCGGCTCGCTCCTCGCCCTTGAACGGCACCTGATGTTTTCGTGCTTTCAAACGAGGACAAGACTCAGCCCCAGATTCCCGGCGCCCCCTCTCCCTGCAATTCTATCTCCCGGCCTTGACGTATCCTGCGTACTCCTCCAGCTCACCCTTCTCGTCCTTCTTCCAGGTGTAGGTGTAGCTCTCGGTCTTCTTCGCCGGCTTCAACGGAAGGACATACAGGCCGCTAGGGTGAGACATCTCAGGATCATCCTCGTTCACCCACTTGGAGCCAGCCATGCGCACCACGGCGCCCTCCGGCCTGCAGCCCTTCAGTGCGGATCCGGTGAAGCTTGGGCCCCAGGCCATGTAGGCCAGGGCGCCCAGCACCAGAAATCCAGATCCAGCACGGCGATTCATGGCGGGATCGAAGAACGGCAAAGCAAGCAGCGCCGAGCCTAAAAACTGCGATGCAGATGCCAACCAAGTACATCGTGCAGGCCATGAAACAGCAGAAAATCAGTTGGCCGCGTCAGACGGCTGCGTCATTGACAACACTGCTTGGACGTCTGGCCTTCTGGTCCGTGTCGGCACATGCCGGTGTACGGCTGTCAGAAAGAGACAAGCCCCTGGAACGGGCTTCCTCTAAAAACAAGCTGAGCTTTGTACAAGTCACTCATGCAAAGATGAGCGATCTTACCCCGTAAACCGAGATGGAAGACATAGTCCTCAGCTCAGACTGCCTCTCCCTCGCCGCTTTTGCCCCAGTGGTCCCAGCATCCGTTGCCCTTGCGCTGGGTGTAGTAGGCGGCGGCTCGCTCCTCGCCCTTGAACGGCACCTGATGTTTTCGTGCTTTCAAACGAGGACAAGATTCAGCCCCAGATTCCCGGCGCCCCCTCTCCCTGCAATTCTATCTCCCGGCCTTGACGTATCCTGCGTACTCCTCCAGCTCACCCTTCTCGTTCTTCTTCCAGGTGTAGGTGTAGCTCTCGGTCTTCTTCGCCGGCTTCAACGGAAGGACATACAGGCCGCTAGGGTGAGACATCTCAGGATCATCCTCGTTCACCCACTTGGAGCCAGCCATGCGCACCACGGCGCCCTCCGGCCTGCAGCCCTTCAGTGCGGATCCGGTGAAGCTTGGGCCCCAGGCCATGTAGGCCAGGGCGCCCAGCACCAGAAATCCAGATCCAGCACGGCGGTTCATCTTAGCTTAGGATTGGCAGGAGGGGTGGCCGACTTGGAGCCAACTCGTATTGCAGCACGTGGCAGAGAACGTACACATGCGTACATGCCACACTCACACTACCGCCCGAAAGAAACATGACAGACAACCAAACGTAGCCCGTGCGGCTGAAAGACCTGTCGGAAGTGTTTCTTCAGCATAAAGATGCGGAACAAACCCTTGCCAGGATCTCCTATCCGCCGGGCAAGCACAACACTGCAGGGGAATACTAAATCAAGAGCACGCAAGACATGTGTGAAATTTGGATCTATAGCACTGACTCATTTGTCATGCTGCCACGGGCGTGCTTGCGATGTACAGAGGGGGCAGTCGGTGCTCAGACTGCCTCTCCCTCGCCGCTTTTGCCCCAGTGGTCCCAGCATCCGTTGCCCTTGCGCTGGGTGTAGTAGGCGGCGGCTCGCTCCTCGCCCTTGAACGGCACCTGATGTTTTCGTGCTTTCAAACGGACAAGATTCAGCCCCAGATTCCCGGCGCCCCCTCTCCCTGCAATTCTATCTCCCGGCCTTGACGTATCCTGCGTACTCCTCCAGCTCACCCTTCTCGTTCTTCTTCCAGGTGTAGGTGTAGCTCTCGGTCTTCTTCGCCGGCTTCAACGGAAGGACATACAGGCCGCTAGGGTGAGACATCTCAGGATCATCCTCGTTCACCCACTTGGAGCCAGCCATGCGCACCACGGCGCCCTCCGGCCTGCAGCCCTTCAGTGCGGATCCGGTGAAGCTTGGGCCCCAGGCCATGTAGGCCAGGGCGCCCAGCACCAGAAATCCAGATCCAGCACGGCGATTCATGGCGGGATCGAAGAACGGCAAAGCAAGCAGCGCCGAGCCTAAAAACTGCGATGCAGATGCCAACCAAGTACATCGTGCAGGCCATGAAACAGCAGAAAATCAGTTGGCCGCGTCAGACGGCTGCGTCATTGACAACACTGCTTGGACGTCTGGCCTTCTGGTCCGTGTCGGCACATGCCGGTGTACGGCTGTCAGAAAGAGACAAGCCCCTGGAACGGGCTTCCTCTAAAAACAAGCTGAGCTTTGTACAAGTCACTCATGCAAAGATGAGCGATCTTACCCCGTAAACCGAGATGGAAGACATAGTCCTCAGCTCAGACTGCCTCTCCCTCGCCGCTTTTGCCCCAGTGGTCCCAGCATCCGTTGCCCTTGCGCTGGGTGTAGTAGGCGGCGGCTCGCTCCTCGCCCTTGAACGGCACCTGATGTTTTCGTGCTTTCAAACGAGGACAAGATTCAGCCCCAGATTCCCCGCGCCCCCTCTCCCTGCAATTCTATCTCCCGGCCTTGACGTATCCTGCGTACTCCTCCAGCTCACCCTTCTCGTTCTTCTTCCAGGTGTAGGTGTAGCTCTCGGTCTTCTTCGCCGGCTTCAACGGAAGGACATACAGGCCGCTAGGGTGAGACATCTCAGGATCATCCTCGTTCACCCACTTGGAGCCAGCCATGCGCACCACGGCGCCCTCCGGCCTGCAGCCCTTCAGTGCGGATCCGGTGAAGCTTGGGCCCCAGGCCATGTAGGCCAGGGCGCCCAGCACCAGAAATCCAGATCCAGCACGGCGATTCATGGTGCCAGTGAGGCCGAGCAGCAATGAGCCCAGCAGCTGCAACAACTCACTTCACTCACAAGGTGCACCTGCAGCCTGTGACGTTCCAGATCCCAAACCTGAACAAACCAGCATCTAGAGGATGCGTCAACGTCTGTAAACCACCCCATCCGAAGCCTGACCAGCCAAACCGGCAGCAGCCAGGCATCAGACCTGCCACATGGCAGTGGAAGATTCATACGGTAACAACCGTAAACTACACTTTCAATTTGACCAGGCAGGAGAAGGTATATTCGCCAGTATGTCGGGGGCTTTGGCTCCAGTCAACTGGAGGTGATAAACTAGTTACAAGACCGCAATCGTAAGCTCTCTGCTGCAAGGAAACAGGCATCTGCTGTGGCCACGATGACGGTAGCTGCAAGGCCCCAGCCAGAATGACCAGGGATCGCGTCCAGCCATCCAAAGAACCTTGTCAGCCAAGAACCATGCAGTGAAGTTCAAGCACATTTGCAGGCGAGTCAGTTGTTCTGTAACGGCGAAACCTGCAAGACAACTAGACCTGAAACCAATACCTCCCGACTCAAATGCTAACATATCTGCAGATTGAATCAACCTCACAGGATGGGCGACGTCGCACGGCTTCAGGAGGAGGAGAACGTGACGCATGCGGTCTCTAGTCTCCCAGTGCTCTCCCGGTAGTCTCCCGGTAGCCTCCCGTTGGTATCCCAGTGGTGCCCTGGTCTCCTGATGGTCTCCTCTGGTTTCCAGGGCCACAGCCGAAATGCTCTTGCACAAATACCTGCGGAATTCAGGACCACGACGCTTCCCCCCGTGTACTGGGGGGATTCAGCTGGACTGCCAACGTGCTTTCCCTCAAGTACTGCATCGATGCAATTTTTTGAAAGCTAGAGTGGTCTATGTATGGGAATTTGAATCCACGATCCTGTAAAACATCGGACTCGAGCACAAAGTATGCACCGCACCACAGCAGGAGCTGCGTATGGCGATACTTGCCATTCTTCCCAACCTAAGAGCCTCATGATGTGTACCACACACCGTTGGGGCATTTCTACCCCAGACCCTTCACAGCAGGGGCGCGTGCTTCCAGAAGTGCTGGCTGAATCTCAGTCCGCTGCCCAGCCCTCCAAAGGTATTCCTGACGGAGAACGAGAAAGGGACCACACATAGTGTGAGAAGGCGAATGGCACCTGCGCCCCAAAGAAGGTAGTGGTTGATGCCAAACGACCGACAAGCTTGCGCATAGTGCTGGGAGTCCTCTCATGACAGACTGCACAAGGCACAGCCGCCAAACGGTTTCAGCTTGGAGCTGTGCGGAGCAAGGGAAATGTCCTCAAGAGGAGTGGCACTGTGGCGAATGCCATCTTCGCACCAGAAAGCCCAGAGGGCCCCTCCTGCCAAGTACGCGTTTGACGACTTCGTATTCCTGGGGCGGTGTTTCCGAGGTCATCGGGGGGCTCCTACAGCGTCCGCACAGAAGAAAGCGGAAAGTACCTCTGTCCAATGCGAAGTAGACGTGAAGGGGTCGAAAAATTTCGTTAGCAGCATGTCTGCAACGGCGCACAATTCGTCTGCTTCGTCGGCCGTTGATCTCGGAGCGGATGAACGCCTGACGACGGGCAAGCGGCAACTCATCTCTCGAGACCGTGGAGATCCGTGGAGTGGAGCCGTCTCTCTGCGCCTCATCCGTGGTGGCCAAGAAGCTGTGCTTCCAGTCATGAAAGGCCATCGAGACCTGGCTGGAGGCTACGGCCGCGGATCGCAGCCGTTTTGCGATCTTTGACATGTGCGACTGCTTCAGCTCCGGTTTCAGGTTTAGGCTTCGAAGTGCCGACAGAGATCAGCTACAATGCATTTAGATTTGCAAGAACCACCATCAGGCAACATTTCCGCAACGGATGTTGCAAAGGGTGAATCAGCAACTCGCAAATCGAATCGAAATCCGCTGCCTTTTGCCAAGTCGGAAGTGGCCGCCAATCACGCTGCTTGCGCTGCGTTGCAGCTTGTGCCTCTTGAACAGCCGGCAGCGACATTTTGCAAGAAACCCCAATTTAAGCAACTTCTACAGGAATTTGCTCGAGTCTTGTAAATCTCCATGCGAAGGGGGAGAGAGGCAGAGACAGAGAGAGAGAGAGAGGGGACTGGAGGGGAGAGGGAGTGAGAGACCAAAACATGGACCCACTGTCACTTGGCACCTCGTCGGCGAGGAGACCCAGATGCGCCTCGCCATGACAGCCAACGACAACATATCGCTGTCATTCAAGCCTTCGGCTTAGGCTTTTGCGTAGGTTATCGTGCGAGTTGTCTGCCGGAGGCTGAGTGCATCATCAGAGCGGAAGACTTGCTTGGTCCGGCCTGCCCCCGTGTTGGTGATCCCAGTGAGGTCCTGCGCGGCGTTCTACATATTTCATGTGACTGTTTACAGCTTTCCACACCGTTCTAGCCGAGGCTGCTACCCTCAGTCTGAGGCTTACAAGCAGGAAGCTCTTCGACACTCCAACGGTCCAGCTTTGGCTCGACCTGGCACCTGCAAACCACCATAGCGGCATAAAACACAGCCGACCGAGCTGGTCCACTTATTCCACTTCCCGTGGGCTTGAGATAGAAAATCCTCGCTTCAAGACAGCATCTCTAACTGCAGTTCCAAAGCTTGAAGCTGCATGCTGCTCGGACTTGAACAGGTCTTGGCGGTCTTGGAGTGTCCATAAAGGGCAGCTGCAGGAGAGCCGGAGCGGTCGACGGTAAGGATGTGCAAGCTGTCATCCGTGTCACCTCATTGGCCCCGATCCTCTTGAATGGCCGTGCTCTCCACGTTTTCTTCGCTCTCGTCCGTCGCGCAGCATGCACTCGCGCAAGCACTCCACTTCCACTGCAGTTCGGAGGGATGTGAATTGAGACGTTGAGACCGTTGAGACTGAGAGAAGGTGAACCACAGGTCTATCCATACACTTCGCAAGTATGAAGGTCTATCCATACACTTCGCAAGTATGAAGCTGCGAAAATCCCGTGTGAGGATTGTTCAGCAACTCTTCTCGGCTTTTCCCCTGAGACAGATGCCCTGCGGTCGTTCGGCAAGGCAGAGTCTACAAAATCCAGAGAATCCCGAGGCCACCGCCTGCTTCGAAGATGTGCTACTGACAATTACTGACCGACTTCCGCCAGCATGACCCGAGGCTATCATGGCATTGATCACTGATGATGACAGACGAAGACAGAAGGCTGCAGGCCGCGGTCCGCTATGTGCTACACTCGGCTTTATGTTCCTCTGCCCGGTAGGCTGTTTGCAGCCACGGCATGGACTTCCAGCCGTTGGAGGCTCTCGTGACCGTGAACAAGAGTCTGAATATGATAATCTGCACATGTTCAAATGTTCAACCGCAACTGCCATTTGACGAAATGCTTGCCTGACTTCTTCAGCGAAGCTTCAGGCCACCAACAGCTCAAAGCTTTCGGCCAGTCTGACACTATTTGCAGATCACAAGCGCGGAACTTCTCGCACCCCTGGCCAGAGCTCTGTATTTTCTAGCATGCACGTTGAAGGCATCTCTTGGGTTTGTTGCGTCGCAAGGGCGGGGCTTGTTGTCAAGTTGTTGTGCCACAAGAGTGGAGACACCTACGTCTGGGCATTGTCCGCATCGGTCAATCTTGAACTCTGGTACTTGCACAGGTAAGCATGTCACATCTGGACGTCTGCTTCGTCGTGAGCACGGCATGTTAACCCAAGACAACTTATGATTCGGGAGGTCGTGCGCAAGAAAAATCGTCGTCGTCGTCAGGTTCGCAGTAGATTCGGAGACACTCAACACTGGGTTGTAGGACAGTGCCTTCTTGAAGACGAAACTGAGTAAGCCGTGGAAAGCAGGCATGGTCGGCGCATCTGACTTGGAGAGAGTCTCCTTAACCTCAAAGGTCATCTTTGCAACTTCGAGTTGTCATCACTCTGTTCGCTTCTCATGTGATGCTCATCATATCTCATGATGTCATGTTCATCTACAGGAACTCTGTCGAGGGAACCTCCACTTGGCAAAGAGACGTCTTCGAAACCTGAGGTGGGGTCAGAGCAGCAGTGCACGCTGCGCGTAGTACTGGACGTCAATGTCCGGGTCGTGCTCCAACCTAAGAAGTCTTGGATTGAAGGCCTGGACTTTTGACGGACGGCAAGCGTCATGTCAACCAAGGGCGTTACTCTAGCAAACAAGGCTTGATGGTGGTGGTGATAGTCTGGCTCCCCAGGCTGTGATGCTCCATCCTGTCACACGGCTGCTAGCTGATCATGCCGGTCAGGAGCACACCCCAAAACATGCCTTACACTTTCAATCATCGGGATCTCGGCTTGTACAGTTCTACCGATGATTCCTGCACTTGACGCAATTGGCATAACATCGAGCAATCAAGGACCCCAGGCTCTTCAATGCGGATTCGCGGAACCCTCAAATACCTTCAAACTTGAACAAGCCGGCGTGGCATCCACATAATAGTTCGACAAGCGCAGAAGCGAACGTTGGGCACGGTGTCCTGCAGGAAAGCTTTCCTATCCTGAACACATTTTAACACAACATGCAGTGTTGACATCGTGCACAATCCAGTGGCAACAGCGTTGGGCCTTCGTCGCCTTGATGAGAAGGGGCACTATGTACTGGACAAGCTGATCGGGCCTTGGTCCGGAGAGGCGAACTGCGCCCAAGTCGGCTCCGAGGCCACTTTCAACCGAAGACCGCAGGGTTTATATGTGTCTCTAGCTCCAGCTATGATGTTCTGCAGGCGCAACTCAGCAATTTAAATGCAAGAGAGGCAGGGTGAAAAAGTCATGCATCTGAACTACGACTAACTACGAGTACTCAGCCATGCCGGGCTGAAGTTGCACGAATCTTCGGCTGATCATTGCCGGCCAATACAGCACTTCTGCGGCGTGAACGGCCACTGCATTGGGTCGGGTGGAAGAGGTCCTCCGTGCTCAGAATGCCTTCCACTTCGTGAGACGGTGAACGGCATCCCGGACAAAGCGGAGCGTTGCACTCCGCGAATTGCAGGATTCCTCCGTGTGAATGCTCAACAGGCTCAACATCTGTCCACAGTCGCAACATTTGATGACTTCGAAAGATCTTCCTGTTATCCGCGAGATCATGTCGCGATTCAGCAACATCTTGTCAGCATCCGCATATGCACACCGAAGAACAGCCCTCTCGGCCTGGGCCTAGGCTGTGACTGGGGCCAGGCCAGGCTCTGAGGCCTCTGCGTCATCACGCCCGAGACTTGCGGCAGCACGTGGAGCCTCAGGGACCAGAGGATTCAGGATCCTTCGAGGCGAGTCGGCGAAGCTCCAGGGATCTGGCGTGGTCACGCGGTTGGCGTAGCCGACGCTGCCGGAGTACTGCTCGACAAGCTTAGGCCTGAGGGGATGCGACCCTGCGACTGTACTCTTCAGCTCTTGCCCATGTCGGGCTGCTAGGGGCCGGGCAGGAGATGTTCCACGGTCCACTGAGAACCAAAGGTATCAGCAATCTCTTTCAGGTGCTGTATTGCGGCCTCGTGCGCGCAAGTCCCGCAGCTTCCCTGGAGCTAGGATGCTTTCAACGGCAGGCAGCAGGCCTGACGCACCGAGTGCACGGAGTCGCGCAAGCTGGACAGGAAGATGGTCTGCAGCACGGGCCGAGAGTCCGTGCAATCAGCTACACCAACCTTACGACAGAGCTTACAACCAGCAAGAATCGAAGCTTAGCACTACTTGCCCGGCAACCCAGGAGAGCATGGAGACGGCGCGACAACGCAGTGCTGATTGCGATCTTAGAAGGGCCCTTTGGAGAGATGGCATTGCAGGGGTCTGTGAACGCTGGTGACTCTGGATACCCTTGAATGCATCTCGAGCTACGGTGTGCCTGGACGAAAGTGTGGGGCCTGAACCCTACGCATGGACACCTGCCAATAGGGAGACCTGGCCTCCAGCTTGGACTGGAACATCTCCATGCCGAACAGCTTCGACTGAATTCAAGTCATGCTGTCGTCGGCACTTCGGGGCAAGTCCAACTAAGCCCGTGACGAGCTTTGGAACTTGCTCTACAACGCTCTGACCTGGGCGTCCAGGCCACAAGCTCCCAGGGCTCCAACATGGCGTTCCGTTCACTGCTTGGGGGAAGCAACGCTCGGGCCCTGGCGGATGCGCCAGTGGTTGTCCATGATCAGGTTCTGCACGGTGTGCAAGAGCGAGTGGACCTCAATACTCATCACTGGACAAAGCTGCAGGTAGACATCGGTTCTCACGCAATGCATGGCAGTGCTCTCATTTCCGTGCTGCAGCCCCGCTCCCAGGCTGAGGACAGATCCAGACCATCCACACTCAAAACTTCGCAGATGAGGCCGGCATGCGACACGATATTCAGCCGCACGTCGTGGAACTCGTCCTTCAAACGAGACCGGCCTCACTCTCGGACATTGCCGAGACTCTGAGCTTCCACTTCAATGCTAGAAGGCCCCACACGCCAAAAACTTCCTCAACCTTGGGAGCAGATCTGTCCTTCATGAGGTCTGAGATCAGACCTGCCAAGAGCCAAGACAAGGGGAAGCGGCATGCGCGGCGCATGAACTTGCCCACAAAACTCCATCAGAGAAACGAGCGTGCTTTGTAATCAACACGCCATCTGCAATGCAACCAGGTGATGTTGCATGCCAGAGAAGCCAACATCCTCTTCAATTCGAACATGGCGGGTGCGCTCAGCAGCTGTCGCTGGGTGACCTTTCTTTGCTTGGCACTCCATTTCAATTGAAGCTAGTTTTCAATCCTTAGGTGACCATGAGCACGAAGCGAAAGACCATACCGGGCTCCTGCCGTGCTCGAAAATTGGAAAGCAAGCTCCCCAATTTACACTCCGAACTGGATAGACACTTCCACTTCCTTGCCAAGAGGCATCACGGCCGAGGGCCTTTGCCACTGGCCCCAAGACTTGTGCCAGGGCCTCCGACGAGACTGAGACCGCCCTCTGTCCCCTCCCCCCTCATGCCAAAAGCACCAAAGAAATGTTCAGACACTCGGAGGTGTTTCATGCAACGGCACTCGAAAGGCTGTTTCACTGACACTGGAGCACCTCCTCGCCGTACTGACGTTTGAAACTGGGGCCCATGCGGCTCGCACTGACTGTGCAGGATCCAGGCCCAAGCCCTGGAACTGCGGCCTCTGCATGGCTGTTCGGGGACAAGGGCACAGACCTTCCAGGGCCTGGCAGCTGCACTGCTGTATGTGGTACAAGAGGATTCCCCGGGTCAGAATCTCAACTGGTATTCGCTGACATGGTTTTTATGCGACCTTTATCCGCCGTGCACTTACACCCTGGGCAAGAGAGCACGTTGCTTGATGAGACCTCTCGGCTTCTGGCAGAATGTGCTGCTGGAGCTGCTCGGATGTGAGAGGCTCTGGCCTTGCATTCTTGGGCACATCAGACTTGTCGGAGCATGCACGTGGTATCGGGAGCAGCACGTGGTGACTTCAGGCCCGCGCAGATTGAGACAAGCCTCAATCACCCTCACGGCCTCCTTTCTCACTTCCTGCTCGTTGTCC